GGAGAGAGAAGAGAGAGAGAGAGCAAGCAGATACATACGTGGGAAGCAGAGAGAAAGAGAGAGATGAAATGGTTATTTCCTGATGTCAAAAACTTTATATCCAAGAGGCCTCTTCACAGAGGGAAAGCATGGGGGTCAGGCTAACTTCTCTCCACATTTCCCCTCCATTTGCTTAGCTCTTTATAATTAGATGTTGATGAACTCATGAAGTTATTTATTTCAGGTTCTCCTAATAATGTAAAGCTGAACTCAGCTGTCTAGAGCAGGAGAGAGGCTGTTAATGTTGTCTCCACCTGTACCCTGGCAGGGACCAGCCCTGACTAACTGCCTAGTGCATCTCAGTGCTGCAGGATGCTGCTGAAATAAATAACCTGCTTCCACAGGCGATGATGGCGGTTCTCCTCAGCTAAATCCTTGGTGGGTACCACATTGTCATCCCTAATCCTTGTCAATCTTGTGTACATGGGAGGACATTTGTTCATCTTTGTAATGACACAAAGAGTACCTAATAACGAACCAGCCACCCCCAGGAGAAGAACTTTGTGCGTGACTTACGGAGTCTATCTACTTCACAGCCAGGGACTCTGGAGCCAGGATGTCACTCAGCAGGACCCAGCTTGGAGGGTCCAGAGGAAGCGTGCAACAAAAGAAACCAACAGATCTAGTTTTAATTTAACAGATCAGTGATGTAAGGTGATTGGCTTTACATTAATTTTCAACTTTCGGTCATCACCTGTGTGCAACTGGCCAAAAAACCACCTCTCCTTTTGTCAAATTCACTAAATTATCAGTTTTGCATCTCAAGCAAAAGCAGGGAGTGTTTAGAATCCTCCGGCTCCAGTCCCTCCGGAGACCCATGCACACGGCCACTTCACTCTCTGGACCCCACACGGGCCAAAGTAGATTCAGTTCAGTGATTGCTCCAAGAAATTTTGTGCCCATGAACAGTATTTCACCCTATTGTTTTATTCATCAATGGAAGAAAAAAATCTGGCCACCAATTTATGGTTTTTGAAGAGGTAAAATGATGTTTCAACCCTGAGAAACCCGAGACATAAATGACTGTGCATAAATCTACATCCTTATCAAAAACCTTTTCAAAGCCAAACTTTCATCTTAAAAAGGCCATAATCTGGGAACTGGTTGAATCAGAGCCATTATTTCAACACACGCTCATTATACCCAGATTGTCTTCCTTTTAGCTTTTTGATTATTATACTTATTCATTTGTCCACTATGAGGATAAAATCAGTGTCTTTTACAAACTGTAGACAATAGCAGCGCAGACAGGCTGCTGCCTGTGCACAGTGCTGTGCGGAGGTGAAAACAGACAACATCCCTGTAAGGCATCGTGGGGCGCACAGTTACTCCTGTTAGCTAACAAGTGTCTTCACTGGCCACCTTTAATTTCAATAATGCTTAGTCTCTTATCATGTAAATGACTTTCCTAGGTAGGAAAAAAATAACCTGCAAGCCAAAGACAAGCAAACACAAGCACTGACAATTCACACACCTGCCTACATGTTCTTCATGTGGAGAAATTAAAAACAACAGACACCCAAATGTCAGCTCCTGAGCAAGAGAGGACTGTGAAGTTTGTCTCGTTAAATGTGCTAATGTGGGGTCAGGCGTGGTCACATTTTCATCCACTTAATCCCATTTCTTGAGCTCTTTATGCACTAATTCTCTTGTAATAATAAAATCACTCATAAACCATCAAAGGACAAGAAAGAGTGAATGAATATTTTACAACTGTACAGAAAGTTGTTTCCCGTGGAGAAATGGCCTAGATTTCTTCTGTGTTGGAGCTCACCCTTCCAGAAAAGTAGAATTTGTCATCCTTGACTCTCCAGGCAACCCTAAGCCCACTGTCCCAGGAACCCGAGCCTTTCTCTTCAGTTCAACTTTCTTTGTTATGTATTCATTAATTCACTGCCTCATAATAAAGCAACACACGTGATTCAGGGCAAAAAAAAGAAGACAGACAGACAGACTCGTGATATTCCTGACATCTTCCCCCCCCAGACTGTGAAGTGTTTTTTGATCTCAGTGTTCCCCAAGTGTTCCTCAATAAAATGTTTCCTGTGAAGCTCAGGCTCATTGCTAGGCCATGGTTAGCTTTCTTTGATTTTATTTCCTACGTGTTCACAATGCCTAGGTGCTAGTTTGTCACCAGCTGTGCCCCCAAACCCTCAGGCATCATTTATGGGAGTGTGAGACTCATCCGTGGATTCTCTTTGTTGACTACTTACTTAGACGGGCTTCCTCGCTCGCAATGCATAAGTGCACAGAGTTCAGGCCACAGAAGATCCGCAGCAGGAAGGTTTCATTCTCAGGATTACAGAGTGCAGGTGATGATTAAAAAAGAAAAAAGAATGGGAACATTATCCACATCAATCTGCATAAGTTATTTTTCATTTAGTCAGTCATTTAGATCACCTGAAATGCAATTTATTTTATTTTCTCTTACATACACAAATAAGACCTGTCATGGCACTGACATGAAGAAGAAAGACTGGTATCCTAAGCCTTGACATGTATCGGAGGTGTGATCAACAAAGGCAGTTGAATGCTTAAATTTAAAAAGAAAAAGTACCCCAGGGGCTGGGATGTAGCTCAGTGGCACAGCACCTGCCTGGCAGGCGCGAGGTCCCGAGTTTGATTCTTAGTACCCACCCACCCACAAATCTCTAACTCAGAAACTGTACTCCAGTAAAAGATGTATTTCCACTGAACCCCTCAACGTGGACACATGTATCCCATCATTCCTGCCACCCAACTTAGCAGCTGTGGAGTTCTCTTTTGTGAGTGTCTTCACAACGTGTGACAAAGCACACAGTGAAGGCTGCTACCATGAACAGAAAGTTAGGATCGCAGAAACACGATGGGTTTCATCCTCTGTGTGATCTCAATTGAATATTCCACCCCACTTGGCTCCTGGGATACAGTGGCCATCACTGATGACACTGTGTGCTTTTTATTATTAATAAATTGAATATTCTTATGCAAACCATCCAAACCAACCAAGACAAGAAGGCTGTAACTTACACAGGCCCACAGCGGGGCAGACACAGCACCTGACCTGGAGGAGTCCTGCTGTCCACCCGACATGCCCATGCTACGGAGCAGAGCAAGAAACAAAGCGGGCGACAGTGTCAACACCACTCCCTGAATTTCACCTCGCTTAAGTTGTGGTGATAATTAAGTCTTTCAAGAGGTTGATTTCATTTTCTTTTTCAGAAAATGAATAATTTCAAATTTGTCACTGGCCCAGAAGTTGATTACTATCTCTAATTTGTGCTGTCTCTACCATCATTAGCCCAAGAGGGTACAGGTGCGTGACATTTACTTTCCTTTGCGATCGCTGTCTTCTTCAGATATCAGTGTAATTCCTGTCTTCCCAATGGGACAATTACTAGGCAATCAATAGAAGTTACTCATTTTATCTCCATGTGTTTATATTCTTCTTCACTGATTTTCACACTAAGTCTTCTTTTTGTCCAACACCTTCTATACTGTGTTGACTAATTCGTCAATTTACTAATTATGATTTTAAGCCCCATGACTCACACAACCTAAAGAACTCTGTTATTCTTAATCTATAGATGGGATCATTGTAGTATTGATACACCTGTTTCACTAATGATATTCAGTGTTTAATATTTGCATTATCAATAGAATACTTCAAATCTCTCTCATGCATATCACTCGGAAACAGCTCATCACCACTGATTATAGTACGTATTATTAATAATTCATTAAATACTCTTAAGCCAGCCTCTGATACCAAAATAGGGATGACTGTTACCTACCTGAGTATGCAGATTGAGAAGGTGATCCTGCAGGAAAGCTCCCATCTTCAAAGCCTCTCCATTCTGAGGAGTAGACTGTGGAAAAGATAATAACAGAATTACGGCATTCTCAATACCATGTACATTCAGAATTGAACAATGGCTTATTCACTTTATTTCCATATTTGGTCACTGATTCTCACATCAAACCAATTTTAAGGACAGATTAAAAATACCTAACTACAAGGAAAGACAAGCACATTGCTTTTTACTGACATCTTACTATGGAATCATTTTTTAAAAAAGAGAAAGGACCAGATCTCTTCTATAATAGACCCAAAGTTCTGGACACATATTAGTCTGACTCGTATGGCACCAGAAGTCTTAATTAATCCAACATTGGTCTTCTCTTTTTCTAAATATTTATCTCACGATTAATTCAATTACACACTAATAATGATCGGAGACCCTACAAAAGCCTTGCTATTCTTAGTCCGCACATGGAGGCATTCGACCGCCGGTACAACTGTCTCATTACGCGGCAGGATCTCATGACCAATGGAAACCTCCATATTACTCCCATGTATTTCCCTGGGTAGAGAGGTCACCGCTGAGGAAGTGATAAACTTCCGAACAGTACATCTCAGTCCCCTCAAGCCGCCCATCCAAACTAAAGCAAGTATACCAACTACTGCTCATACCGTCTGCCTGATCTCCAGAGAGCAGGGGGCACAGGAGGATCCTCAGATCGGTGAAGCCCATCCATTCTAGGTATTCAGAGCAGAAAACGATAATGAAATCGAGACATTTTCCCTCTTAACTCCTGATTGTCACCTTCATTTAGCCACTAATTTGAGAGTATATTTATTTCATTACTTCTTAAATGAATAATTAAAACATGGCAAGGAACCAGAACATGAATTTTGTCTATAATTTATATTGTAAATATCATAATTAGCCAGAGATAGCAGATACACATGACTCCACTTTGACCTATGTAGAATTTTATTTCACCACATATTTTTATAATTGAACCATACTTAACCTTATTCACCTTTATTTATTTATGCATTTGTTTATTGGTTCTTGTATTGACCCAATTATAAGTCTATGTTAAAAAATGCAGAAAAATAAGAACCGAAGCCAAATCTACCTGTCCTGTTGACATCTATCAATACAAAACTGAAACGACAAAATCTGACTCTTCTGAAGGACCTCAGAGTTCCAGAGACATATTCAGCATTCACAGGTCATGCACTGTCCTTGGTCATCATCGATCCCACGTATGTTGTGTTTCTCTATCCATTTCCACCGTCTGTGATTGATTTCACTAACAATTTCACATTTCCTTCAATGATCACGAAAGCTCCACCCAAGCCCCAACAAAAAGGAGGTCACTCACGTGCGCCCCCAAGCTGCTCCCGACTGGCCCCGAACACTGCACCCTGGAGACCTCCGCCGTGCAAGCACCACGTGCCTTCCGAGTAGAAGAGAGCAGAGAAGATACCAGATGAGACCACGTCACTGTTCAGCCTCGATTTCCATTCATGATTTTAGACAGTCACTTTTGGAGTATATTTCCATCATTATCTTTTAGGAAAATAAATAATTTTTAACTGCTTTTTTCTCAAGAATCTGAATACTGTAATCCATGCCATCTATGCCATCATTAGCCAGAGACGAGAGACGGGACAGCTGTGACACTCACAGTATCGTGAACTGTGGCATTTTCATCACTGACCCAGATCCCTCCTTCTAGTCCCTAATTTAGACAATGGTTTAGACAAAACCCGTATTTCATGTTCTTTTCAGAAAATGAAAAATTTGAATCAGACACATGAGCCAGGATGTGACACTGTCTGTAATTTGTCTTCCATCATTAACCCAGGAGATGACACACAAGTACAACTCACCTCTGAACTAAACTCATTTCAATACGGATAAACAGTGTTTTGCCTCACAATGTATTTTTGTGATTAGACAATACTTAATTTTATGCATTGGCATACATGTTTATTGAGTCATTCTAAAACTTGAATAAAAATTCATGAATACACAGACCAAAACAAATCCAACACTGCTATCACAGTAATAACATTTACAACAGAATTTGACCTTTATTAAAGACCTCAGATTTTCAGAAAAAATATTCATCATTTATAATTCATAACTCACCAGTCCTCATCATGGATGCAGGCCAAGCCACTGTTTTCCAAATATATGTTAATTAATTCATTATTGCACTGAAAGTGGCTAAACTATTGTGTGCAAAACCCACCACAGCCTTGACACTACTAATCTGCATATAGAGCTGCTCATACAGGGGTGCTTGTTTCATTAATTAACCTCGAGTTTTCATACATAGATTATCATTCCAATAGTCCACACAGCATTTATATCACTGCCATTACTTGGCTGTCATCAATTACATCATACACTTTTAGTACCGTGTTGAATAATCTAAACGAACCATCCAAACAAGACTAGAGGCTCTGGCTGCTGCTCACACTGGGCCATTTATTCCTGTTTGGACATCTATGTTTTTAAACTATTTCAATAATGCTTCTTGCACCACTACCTGTGTGTTAAATTGGTCAATGTTTCAATCATTTTATTTCTATTTAATTATGTATTTGCTTATTGTTCTTGCATTGATCTGATTATGAAAACACAATGAAAAATATATCGGCACAAAGAAAGATGAAGACACTGTATAGTTCTGAAATCTGTTTACAGGACACTCTGAGACCAGGCAACTGGTTAGATTTCTTCGAGGCTGACCTTAGGCTTCCAGGCACATATTCACTGCCAGTAGGAATCATCGATCCAGAATTGGGCCTCTTTTTACTCCAATCCTATCTAATTTGCTGTTGATTAATTCCTTGATTCACTAATTATAAGCCCTATGAATCACAAACTCTGAAAACTCTGCTATTTCTAAATGGTATATTAATCACCCTCACATTGACAAATCTGTTTCATTAATTATCCTCAATTTTTCATATATGCATGATCATTCTAATACTTCTATCCCTCCCACATCTATCACAGCAGACTTGGCCACCGCCAGTCGGGCTGCACACTTTTCAGCCACACCCTGAAGACGCGAGCGCGGAAGGCTGACTGCGCTCACGCTGGTCCGCACTCCCTCCCAGGAGACGTGCACCGGGGATCGCAGAACTGAGCTGCCTACCGACCCCTGACTGGCCTCTGCCTTTGGCTGGTCAGGTAGGCAATCATTACCTTGAGTTATGCTTTCTGTTAAGAAAATGAACAACTCTGAACTTGCCAGTGAACCACACCACAAATATTGTGTATAATTTACGATCTATACAACCATTAGGAAAAGTGGTAAGTACGTAACATTCACTTCTCATCATCATTATTATTTTTAATTTATATTAATAGTATTTCTTGCCTCATCACATTTTCATAATCAAAGTTTTGCATATTATATACTTATGCATATTTTATATGTTACGTATTAATATAGGAATTCTTTCATTGAATGAATTATATATAGAATGAAAATAAATTAAAGAAAGTTCAAAAACAAATACACAGCCTAGTGTTGTGGTGAATGTCTTTAGTTCCAGCACTTGGGAGGCTGAGCCAGGAGGATCACTATGAGTTTGAGGCCAGCCTGGGCTCTACAGTGAGCTCAAGACCAGCCTAGAATACACAGTGAGACCTTCTCTTGCAGAAAAAAAAATACATATATATACTTCAGATCCCTGACAACTATCTGCAGGAACCCCCAACAGAAGGCAGGGTATTTTAGGGGCTGGATCTCAGGGTTCTGGACATATATTCATTGTTTCTGACTCACATCTCAGCAATGGAAGTTACTGTTCACCTGTACTGCTCACTAATAATTAATCACAATTATGTTAATTAAACTGACCCTCCGTGAGCATGTGATAGTTTTGGGTAGTGCCGTGAGCTTCATGTGTGAACCTTATCAAAGCTGATTAAGGGCTCTGTGATTAAGCTAAGGGCACCGGGCAAACAGGAGCTTGGTGCAAACAGTTCCAGTGTGGTTCTCCTCCCTGTTCCGTTTTGTACTGCAGGGGGCGCCCTGCTCCATGGTGTCTTCTGTTTTGACTGCAGCAGAAGTCTGTCTGCAGCAGAACTAATGTAAGCAACAGCCCAGATTCCTGGTTTGGTTTTGCGGATGCCTTCTGTATGTTAATTATCTACATTATTTTATTAAATTATTTTTCATAATATAGTTTTTCTTAACAAGAAAAACTCCTTCAAACTTGGAACTGCCCCAGAACAACAAGACTGGCCCCTACTTATCAGTGTCTGTGATCCTAAGGCACAGAAGGGGTACCCCTGCTCCCCTGTTGCTCTTAATGGACATCAGTGTTCTGGGCATTCATTACTGAGATTTCTTATATCAGCTCAGATCCTCACAGCTGGGCCACGCTTACCCTTCTTTCTCCTCATTCTTACCTACACTCACTTACTGACTCAGTATCGATTCAGAACATCAACAGCCTTGGCTATTGCTGACATTGCTCTCCAGATTCCACACTCAGACGTGCAACACAAGAGTTTGTGATTAAAAAAAAATCTCTAAGTCACCTGGAACAAATCTAATCTAAAGAATATAAATCAGAGTGAACAATTAAATAAAATTTTGAGACATTCTCTGCATTGCTCCTTGCATTCTGGCAATCATTTATTAAGCATATATATATATATATAAACTCTTTATAACAGACAACTTTGAACATACCCCGAGGGCAGAAAACAAACACTATAACTTAGGCACTCTATGTTTAAAAAAGCAAGCATTCATGTAACATTTATTTAAAATAGACTCAAGGCTTTCATGAATCACTGATTTTCAACACAGAGTTTTCCACTTGAACATGTCACAGTCTGTGCATTTTCATTCATTTATATATTTATCGATGATCATTTCACCTGATGTATAACAATAGCTTGAATGTCTGTGATCTCAAGGACCAAAACAAGACACCTGGGGCTTGCTGACCTGTCTGTAGGTCCGACTCAGCCGGAAGGGGGACCACCTGTCTTCTCCCTAGACATCAGAGCTCCAGACATGTATTCACACTATGATTCACACGCAGCCAGGGATCCTCTCAGATGGAGAGGATCACACGCAGCCATCTGACCTCTCATCTTTCTCACCTACACTTATTTACTATTTTATTAATGAATACACGGCAATATCTATGATAAAAACTTTAAATGGTACCATCATCACATTTTTACTAACTGTTCTCCTTTATGGAAGGACATTAATTGGCACAATGTTTCATGTACTTATCATAGGCTACAACTGCATTCCTTAACCATATTTCACACTTCTAGTAATAGACTGAATAATCACGGTAAAAAAGACCCTGAAATCAGGCAAAGAGCTTTAATCACAGCTCACATTAATCTCAGAGCTCGTCTGTAACCACAGAGCTCACGACCAAGAAAAATGATTCAATCCCTCAAATGCAGCCATTCTCAGAGTACAAAGCGAGGAGATGATTTGAAAAAGCGAGGAATTTATGTCCATTCATTCTTGATTCTTCTTTTGTCAATGTGATTTCACTGGTAATTTAGTTATTGGACTTTTTATTGTATGTGTGTGTATACATATCTTACCCAAAGAAACACTTTGATCTAGAGACTAACTCAAAACTAAGAGCAGACTCTCTTTTACTGTCTATATGTGATTCTTACTTGAGGGAAGTAATACTCTTTATTAAGTTGCTTACACATGAACATAGTGTTTCTAATTTTAATTTGAATCAGTATTTCTGGCCTAAACACATAATTCATAGGTGGAGAATGTTTCACCTCGTTCCCTATATGCCTGTTTATATTACTGAATGATGCTATCACTGATACATTAACACTAGTTTTAAACGTATGAATCTACAGACAGCATCATTATCGATTCCTGACAGGGAGGAGACTACATGGTGTGCCAACTCAGGGCCTCAGTCAAGCTCATTCACTGTCGAAGACACAAACGCCAATGTTGGCATCACGGGTCCATTACTAACGTCATCTTTGTGCCATTTATTCCTAAATATTTATCAGTTCAAGAATTATTTCATTAACAACTATAAGAACATATGATTTATGAAAAAAAGGTGTATAAATATCTACATCTTTTCATGCAACTTGTTAATTTTAAAGAAGGTAAAACAAAACAAAGCAGATCAAAAGAAAACAATGTGACACAGATTTCAAAAGAAGACAACAGGAGATCTACAGGGGCTGCCACAATGTCTCTTATTTTCTTCTAAATAGTTGTGCATATCTTCACACACAATGAATTCATACAAAACAAGATAGTATTAAGCTGATCAGAACAGAGTAATGAAGGCATTACAGGCCTCCAAAAGCAGACAGCAGGAAAGTCAACCATGGCTGCCACAATGCCTCTTGTTCTCGTCAAAAGAGCTGTCCATACCTTCATGTGTGTGGAAATTAAATGACACAAAACAGACTAACACGACTCTGAACAAAGCACGAAAGCATTACTGGATTTCACAGCATGATGATACAGAATTAGCAACACCACAACGACTCTTTTTCTTCAAAGTAGCTGTTCATTTCATCATGTATAATACAATAATTCTCGTAAACTGTTTAGGAGAAGTTCTATGCATGTATGACCCTCTGCATGTATACCTATCCTTTTTGTATTAGAGGCAAAAACAAACAAATTATAGTAAAACAAGAAAAAAAGACAAGTAACAATAGCAGGAGCCCATACCATGAGGACCTGGGCCTTCAAAGGTAGGAGCATGACTAAGGTTGTTAATTTGCATAGTGATCTTCAAGGGTTCCTCACATCTCCAGATACAAACATGCAAGGTTGTTCCAGGCTATGAATGGTAACTGTTTTGTTCCACGAAATCATAGAATCTGTAGCACAGTCATGTTAGCTGTCCTACGTGTGTTTATACAGATTTACATATTTTCTCTTTTCCCTTCCTTTTCCCCGAGATACTGCTTTTTCCCCTTTGAGGAGATTCTTAACCTCTCACTCTATTTATTGAGGATTTGTATCTTATGTACTCTTACCATTTCTTACACTAGGGAGACTATATGGTATTTACACATGTGAGCTTGATTTACTTCACTTATAGTATGGCCTGGAGTTGCATCCATTTACTTACAAATATCTCAATGTGGTCATTCTTTAGAGCTGAGT